TACTGGAGGCTCGCTCCCACACCCCCACCGTCTACTTCTACCCCCCCAGCGCCGCCCGACCGATCGGAGGCTTCTCCTTCGCCGTAGAGGCGCTGAAGGCGGCGCTGGCCAAGGCTCTGGTGCCGTTCTACCCCCTTGCCGGCCGGCTCGGGCTGGACCCAGCCGGCAGGGTCGAGATCCAGTGCACCGGGGAGGGCGCCCTCTTCATGGTCGCCCGGTCCGCCTCCGCCATGGACGACGTCCTTGACGGCTTCGCTCCTTCGGATACGATAAGGCAGATGCTGGTGCCATCCGTGGAGTCCGGCAACGCTCCTTGCCCCCTTGTCATGGTTCAGGTGATCTTCCCCCCTTTAATTTTTTGTCATTGTTGTTGTCGATTGTTCGTCATGTCCACGGCATCGGCTAAAACCTCAAGCAAATCTACTGCAGGTGATCCTCTTCAAGTGCGGTGGCATGTGCTAGTCTTCATAGTCTAGCCTTTCAACTGAGATTAGATTCAACCTCAAGTCAATCACATGTCTCATATCCTTAAGCACCAACTTGCAGCCTAGATTGGTCTTTAAATGGATATCACCCATGCCTATGATTTCTGCTGTGCCATAGTTGCTCATCTTGACAACATCAAAGTTTCCAGACTTGTATTTTGCAAAAGACTCTTCCGTGATGTAGCATGATAAGAAGCACCTGTGTCAATCACCCACTCAAGATCCTGACACACACAAAAAAAAATATCATCAGAAGGAGACAAAATCAAATAATCACCATCTTGCACTATAGTTGTGATAATATCTTTTGACTCAATAGACTCCACTTCTTTCCCCTTTTTCTTGCTCTTCTGAGGTTGCTTACATTGATTCTTATAATGTCCTTTCTAGTTATAGCAAACAATATCTTTTCTTGATCTTGACATGCTTCTACCCATGCGTGAACTGCTTCTATACTTTGACCTTCCTATATTCTCTGAGATAAGTGCCTGTGAATCATTCTGAGATGTTGCTGAACTCTTTTTTCTCAACTCCTCATTCAACAAACTGCTTGTTACTTGACTCATGGTGACAACACCATCTGACGCAAAATTACTGAGGGAAACCACCAATGTCTCCCAACTTTCTGGTAATAAACCGAGAAGTAACAAAGCCTGCAACTCATCATCAAGAGACATTTTCATAGAAGATAACTGGTTAGTAATACTCTGCATTTCATTCAAATGCTCAGCAATAGAAGTACCCTCTCTATATTTTAGGTTCACAAGTTTTCTGATTAAAAAAGCTTTGTTGCCAGCTGTTTTTCTTTCATAGAGACTTTCCAACTTTTTCCAAAGAGAATATGTAAAAATTTCAGTAGAAACATGGTGAAAGACACTATCATCAAGCCATTGTCGAATAAACTCAATTGTTTTTCGATCTAACCTCTTCCACTCATCATCTGTTATAGTTTTAGGTTTTGCACTATCCCCCTGCAAAGGTCCATACAAATCTTTGCAATACAAGAGATCTTCCATTCTTGGTTTTCATATAATTCAATTGTTTCCATTCAAACTAATCATGCGAGAAACATTACTAGCCTCCATGTTCAAATACAAAAATTAAATCACTACAACCCTGCTCTGATACCAGTTGATGGGGATATAAGCAGGAATAACCTTTGTATAGGAACAAATACTAGAAGACCATAATACGCAGCGGAATTAAATGGAAGTACAATCAAATATAACACCAAGATATACGTGGAAAACCCCTTCAATGTGAAGGGTAAAAACCACGGGACAAACAAGAGATAATCTACTATGAGAATAATGAATATACAAATCTCAATTTCTTACCCTAAACCCTAGCAACAATCACAAGAGAATAACTGGGATACAAGGATCACGTCACTGCTCACAATATCTAAAACCTCTCCAAGTAATCACATAAATAGTCTACTGTAGATTGGGATACAAGGATCACGTCACTGCTCACAATATCTAAAACCTCTCCAAGTAATCACATAAATAGTCTACTGTAGATTTGATCTAACCTGAGATGAGAACACTGCTAGATGATTGAGAATAGTCTCTCTGCGTTGTCCTTATCTTCTTCCCTTTTCTTCTTCTCTTTGCTGCTGCAAGGATCTGTATTGTTGCTGCCCATATTGCTGCCCTTTTATAGCCTTTTTCTGCCTCTAAAACGTAACCACCAACACCTCCTAATAAAATTAAGGTTATGTTAAAAGGGGGTGTGGGCTGTGAGCTGCCCAAGCCCACAACGTGGGCTAAATCTGTGGGCTGCGAGCCCAACATGCATCTCTGCTACGAAATCGCAATGAAATTTACTGCACTGCACTACGATCACCTAAAAGAAACGGTATCCAAAGCAGTCATTTATTTCTACTGCTACTGCTTCTGTGATCGTCTGCAATTGTGCCTGTACCTGAGAGAGAGAGAGAGAGAGAGAGAGAGAGAGAGAC